TGACCATCTCACAACTTCCTTCTTTCTCAGTGGTTCTTAACCTGTGGGTCCCCAGATGCTTTGGTTTTCAACTCCCAGAAATCCTAACAGCAGGTAAATTAGCTGGGATTTCTGGGAGTTGAAAACCAAAGCATCTGAGGACCCGCAGGTTGAGAACTGTTCTATCTCCTTTGATTAAACAGAGCACATACATTTTCCAAAGAGATTTGGCTCTTGTAGCAAAACAATTTCCACCTAAACATTAGGAAGAATGTCCCAATAGTAGGAGATTTCTGACAGTGAAGTATGTTGCCTCGAATTCTCTGGAGGGGTTTCAGCAGAGGCTGGATAGCCATCCACTGGGAGTGCTTTGATTATATTTTCCTGCATGGCAGTGGGATGGACTAGATCTGTGATTCTCAACCTGGGGTCCCCAGGTGTTTTTGACCTACAACTCCCAGAAATCCCAGCCAGTTTACCAGCTGTTAGGATTTCTGGGAGTTGGAAGGCCCAAAACATCTGGGGACCCCAGGTTGAGAACCACTGGACTAGATGGTCTTGTATTTTTTGATTTCTATGGTGCATATGGGTGGTTGCAGCACACACAGACATGGAGCTACAGAGCTACATGGTTATGCAGATTGTGGCAACACAGCAATGTGGTTACTCGGACACCTGCCTACTCCTTTACCCACACCTCCAGCTGCCACTTCAAGTAGTAAATAAGGGTGAAGTATAGGGAAATTGACACGCTACCACAAACTAAACTTCTGAGTAGAAGGAATCTACTACATAAATAAAAGGTATAAAGCCACACTTTCCAAGAAAATATGGATTATAAGAGGTGAAGTAAATCCAATTCAAAGGGGTTAATACTATGGTTTGGGGTTGGAGAGGGGATTGTGTTCTGTATACCAAGATTAGCTGCTTTTAGGTAAAAAGAAATCTGATATACGTATCAGTTTAAAGCATTTATGCTCTACTCTTTTAGCCAAAAAGGCTTTCACAGAAGCTTGTACTATAGGAAAAATGACATTATGTGCTCTCAGGTTTACAGTCTAAAATATAAGACAAAACCCACAGGGAATAAGATGTGGAGGGAGGAGGGAAAATTAATTTTGTGCTGCTAATCTTTGGATGAACAATGAAGCTACTGCTAAGTTAAAAGTGCCTGAATAGCTTTTTGGTGCCATGAATTTCAGGCAACTTTGCAGTACCCTTTGGGAACTGAAAACCTGAAGTATGTAATTTCTTTTCTGCAGTGCATTCAATTAATTCCTGCAAAGGACTGGGAAAGTACACAAACATTTGTGTACATAGCCAACAAACACTACAGTACTGCTCTAGATGAGCCATCCGGATAGCAGAACCACTTCCTCAGGGCTTCCCTTGTTCCTGGCGAATTAACTCAAGGGAGTGACATCACATCGGGCCTTCCAGATGGATTATGTGAAGCCATAGCTCAATGTCATTTTCAATAGCCAAGCTTATAATTAAAGGTCAAATAGTCACTTCATCTGCAATCAATCAATAGAAGAAGTACTAATACCAAGCACTAATCAATCAATGGCAAGTACGCTAATAAAAGTCATGAATCAAATGTCTCTCATGTGCTTGCATGTACTGTGCATGTATGTTGAAAAAGGCTGGGAAAGAATGAAGCGCAAAGATGCCTAAGGGGACTCTCAGGTACGACATTTATCTTCACTAGCGAGAGTTTATATCCCTAATTATCTAGTCAAATGAAGTTACAAATTAAAGTGATTTCACAGGCAGTAAGTAAGACACTACGATTTGAAAGAGAAGTAAAATTTCTATGAATAATACTTATCAAAATATGTGCAAATAAATGATTAATAGTAGAGATCTGTCAAATGTGTGTGTGTGTATGTACATGTGTGTGCATACAGGCACACACAAGGAGAGAAGAGGAGACTAAACTTGGCAATGTTTACAATCCCCACTACTCCCCATGGCTTGGGGATTTGGGGAGCAGTGGTCCAAAAGTAATGTTTACAGGCTCAGGTGCAAGCATACATATGCATGAGAGCAAGCAGTCTGCGTCTTATACAATGATTCTATGCCTCCGGAGCCTAGAGGAAATGCAGGTATGTCAACTAGTCTGTCCACAGAACAAAACTCAACGTATGGGAGGGAACTGTGTTTGTCTCCAAGTTGAGTGAGAGCTTCTCCATGGATCCAAGCGAAGGAAGTGGCAGATGGCCTCCTGAGCATGCCGCATGTGGGAATTAGTTGGTTTCATAATACGGAGAGGGAGAAGTGCCTTACAAGCGTCTTCTCATGACTCTCTTATTACCACTTCTAAAGCTTCAAAGCTGTCATCTTTCCTCCTCCTCCGCTGGTGCTGTGCTACTCTCCCCAGGGAATGGACGCAAGGCACCCTGTGGAGGCTTCACATGACAGAATGTGGAAAATCAGTTTAAGCTCCAAGTGAAACGGCTTTTGTTGCAGAAGGCCCCTAAGTGCTCTTGTTTGCTTAGTGGTGGTGGAGTTTTGAAGGCAGATAAAAACATTGTCGCGGCGGACTTAAAAGAAGGCCCTGAAGTTCACTGGTGCCCTTAAATATTCAAACACACAAGTGTTAAATGGGATCTCGCTTGCATCTCCTAAAATCTGCTCAGGTAAATTACAGTGGGATAACAGAACAGACAAGTTGTCATTCTCTATGAAGTCAACAGCGAAAGTCACACTGGTTTCTCAGGGAGAAAGATTTGGGAGCAGCTTACGGTTGATGAACAAACTGTTCATGAATACTTCTGGCTTTAGTCAGAAACATCACTTCGATGCTGCCAGAGGCCCTAACACAAAAATGTCACTTATACATTTTTAGAGTAATTTTTGAACTGCAGTCCTCTGCCTTATTTTATAGGGCTTAAATTTTTAGTTTTAGTTTATATATATATTTATTATGTCAGAAGCAAATTGAGAATACAGTTATAATAATGTATTTTAATAAAACCACAAACAAAGTTAGAAACTTGGCATTATGCTACATTTCCTTTGACCAGAAGCTGATCACTTGGAGTGTCTCCGTTGTCACTGTAAGAAGGTCCTCCATTGTGCATGTGGCAGGGCTCAGACTGCATTGTAGTAAGTGGTCCGTGGTTTGCTCTTCTCTGCACTCACATGTCATGGACTCCACTTTGTAACCCCATTTCTTAAGATTAGCTCTGTATCTCTTACTGCCAGAGTGCAGTCTGTTCATTGCCTTCATGGTTGCCCAAGCCTTCTATGTGCCCAGGGTGGAGTTTCTTATCTGGTAGCAGCCACTGATTGAGGTTCCAGGTTTTAGCCTGCCACTTTTGGGCTCTCGCTTGTTGAGGTGTCCCTGCAAGTATCTCTGTAGATCTTAGGAAGCTGTTTCTTGATTGAAGTCATTGGCATGCTGGCTCATATACAAATAGAGGATGGGCCGGAGATGTCAATGCCTTGGTCCTTTAATTGCTCGCTGCCTCTTCCCTGCAATATTAGGTGGTGCAATACCAGCTAAACAGTACAATTTCTCCAGTGGTGTTGGGCACAGACATCTTGTGGTAATGCAGCATGTCTCATTAAGTGCCGCATCCCCTGTTTTGACAGATGTATTCCATATTGGGCATGTGTACTCAGCAGCAGAGCACAAAGACAGAGGTCTACTCTGTATCTGGTTGTGATGCTCAGGTTGGAAAGTGGTGAAGAGAGGAAACTAACTGGACTGGAGCAAGATAAATGGAGAGTGTGTATATAAGTATATCAGATTTCTCTGGTTTGAGACTGGAATCAAAAAGGCTAAAAGCCATCATTGGTCACACATCAAGATACAGGTTTTAAAAGCCTTCTGACATAACTCTTATAGCCAAAATTAATAGGAAAATTGATGTTCTTAAATACAATGTAATGAAGTTTCAATGTGATATTATAAATAAATATAATATATTCATGCACCTAAAATATTACCCATCCTTGAAAATAGTTTCAGTTGTCACATTTCTTCCTGTGAATGGCTGTGTGGCAGTCTTGGAAAAGGAGCCCCTGGTGGTGCAATGGGTTAAACCCTTGTGTTGGCAGTGGTTCAAATCTAGGGAGAACATGTTGAGCTTCAGCTTCAGCTCCCCATGTGATGGCATGAGAGAAGCCACCCAAAAAGATGGTAAAACATCAAAAACATCCAGGCGTCCCCTAGGCAAGTCCTTGCAGGCGGCGAATTCTCTCACATCAGAAGCGACTTGCAGTTTCTCAAGTCGCTCCTGACAGATGCGCACACACAAAATCTAGTCTGAAGACAGAATTTAGAACCCTGGATAGCTTCTTTGCCATCTGAATGTGATGTCAAATGAGTTGGTATATCTGCCCTAAGCAGATATACCATCTCTACAATATCCAAGCTACCAGCAGTTCTCACACTGTATTGTACACATCTACCAGAATAAGGATTATTGTAAGTGAATTTTGACGGAGTAGTTAAGTAAATGATATTTGAATACTGGGCTGCAAGAAATAAACACAGAGTCCAGAGACTTCTTGGGATAAATACATTGATATTTGATGAAACGCTGATGTCTTTATTGATCTGTTTCTTTATGTTGTAAATGCTTTGTGTGTTATAGTTTTGAGCTATAATAATTCTGCTGTTTGACTGTGTTGTAATAACTCAGAACATAATCTGAAATGAACCACAAACTTTATCAATATTACATTAGAGAACCAGAACATCAAAAACAAAGAAAAATATCAAATCGCTTTCTCCAAAGAAGCAACAGATTAATGGCACTGCATTCCAGTTAATAAATTCCCAAAGGAGGAGACTGTGTTGTCTCCCTCTTAGAAAACGTTTACTTGCCCATTGCAAAAATGTTTTCACGACTGTAGTAATATTAATGCTACACATTTTTACTATATCTTGTGATATTGCTGAACTGATAAGAGGAACACAAACGGGAAACCACTCTCATAAACAAGTGAATGACGAGGAGCAAGGCAATCAGACTGAAACAATTAAACAGTCTCTCATGCAGACTTACCCAATGTTAGCGATTTATGAGTAGAACAGAAAATAATCGCCACTGTGTCTGCTGGTGTAAAACCAGAATTCCTAGAAAAGATGAAAAGAATTGTAAAAGAACTCTATTACATTCATCCTCACTGATTGAACGTAGTATTTTATGTAGCACACTAAGTGTGTGTGTATCTACTTTGAGAGATTTCTAACACAGAATATGCTCCCCCCCCCACACACACATTTGTATGTTTGACTTTTGCATATTTGATTATTCACAGTTTTAATAAAAATGATCTCTTTAGGAATCTGCCCACCAGGCATTAAAAAACATTGGAAAATGAAATGAGAAGACCTCTTTGGGAATCTCCAGTGCAATACTAGAAGCTGACCAAAGAGTCATGCTGGAAGAACCAGAAATTCCTAGGGATGTCCTCCCAAGTTAAAAAGAGAAGAATAATATTCTGGAGGTTTTGGGGCTATTTGATAATACATGGCAGCATGTCCCAACACTCCAATCTTTGTCAAAGATCTAGTAGCGGACCCCAGAATCCAATTACAAAATAATCTAGACTTGTTTCCCCATTGATTCCTATAATAGCCCTTTATTGGTAGAATGAAAATGCTGGAGGGAGTTTCCCAGCTGACTGAATCGGGTTTTTAAAGTGCAAGAATCACTGTTTCTGAAGGAACCATAAATTAAAGAAAGTACACCACTGGATGCTGGGCTTTGGTATTTATTCTCAGCAGGATATGTCTTTCCAAATTAGATTGTTCAGTATGGGCTCTTCATTATGTGCAATGTGGAGCTGCAATGCCACCTGAATGAAACAGTCAAGTTCTCTGAAATTAAAGATAACGTGGAGTGTTTATATCAATGTATTATTTGTCTATGGCTGGAAAACTGGATGGCTGGAAAACCAAGGACCCCTGGTGGTGCAATGGGTTAAGCCCTCATGCTGGCAGGGCTACTGACTGAAAGGTTGGCAATTAGAATCCAGGAAGCAGGATGAGTTCCTGTCTATCGGCTCCAGCTCCTCATGTGGAGACATGAGAGAAGCCTCCCCCAGGATGATAAAACATCCAGGCACCCCCTGGGAAGCATCCTTGCAGATGGCCAATTCTCTCACACCAGAAGCGACTTGCAGTTTCTCAAGTCACTCTTGACAAGAAAAAAAAGTCAGAAAACCCACGGAAATTCTGCTAGCTCTTGGCCAGATTTAACATTCTGCTATCAGTACTCTGGCAATATACATTTGTTTTTGATACCTTATCTAGAACAGCTTTGAATGAGGTGGAGATGCTTAATTATGTCCCATCATGGTATCATTTCTCCAGTTATTCTTATTGTGCAGTGCAGTGAATGAATTCCAAGTAGAAATTATGATTATTAATTAAAATACTTTTAAAAATGCCCTGCATAGTCATAGTGCAACAGTCAAACCACTGTCACATGTTGGATCCATTAACAGAGGACATGGATTCACAGATCGCTTTAAAAGTTTTACACCGCTGCTAAGGAGAAAAGTGGTGAATGAGTAATATGACTGGCTGTATTCAATTACTGATTTATGTGTATCTGTTCAGGAAATTTTACATTCTAAATTTAAGTAAATTGAGGAGGTACATCATTTTTATTGCATATCTATCTATCTGTCTGTCTATCTATCTATACTCAGAGTATAAGTCAACCCAAATATAAGCCGAGGCACCTAATTTTACTACAAAAAACTGGGAAAACGTATTGATTTGAGTATAAGCCGAGGGTGGGAAATGTAGCAGCTACTGGTAAATTTCAAAATAAAAATAGATACCAATAAAATTACTGTATATGCTTGAGTAGAAGCCTAATTTTTCAGCCCCTTTTTTAGGCTGAAAAATCTCCCCTTGGCTTATATTCGAGTCAATGTTATTTACTATTTTACTCTGTTAGTATTATTTTATTGCATTTATTATTTTACTCTATTAATTATTATTATTACATTTATTATTCTACTCCTTATTGTTATTATTACATTTATTATTTTACTCTTTTATTACTGTTATTACATTTCCATTATTTTACTCTATTATTATTTTATTACATTTATTATTTTACTACCTTTATTATTATTGGAAGGATATGTAAGCCCATTTACATTGAAGAAGATGAGAATAATAGTTTAATCTGAGTTGGACAGCTTTATCTTAAATTACAATTTTATGTAAATATTTTTGAATATTTACTGATGCCTCAATTAATATAATTTTATTGGTATCTATTTCTGTTTTGAAACTTACCAGTAGCTGCTGCATTTCTCGCCCTCGGCTTATACTCGAGTCAATACATTTTCCCAGTTTTTTGTGGTAAAATTAGGTGCCTCAGCTTATATTCGGGTCGGCTTATACTCGAGTGTATACGGTACATTAATTGAGGCTTCAGTAGGTTAAATGTTTTTGAATGTTTACATAAAACTGAAATTTAAGATTACGCTGTCCAACTCTGATTAAACCATTATTCTAACCTTCTTCAATGTAAATGTGCTTACGTAGTCTTCCAATAATAATAGAGTAAAATAATAAAAGTAATAAAAATAATAATAGAGTAAAATAATGTAAATGTAATAATCAATAATAATAATACATAGAATGAAATAATAAATGTAATAATAATAATAACAACAACAGAAAATTATAAATAACTTTGACTTGAGTATAAGCCGAAGGGGGGCTTTTTCAGCCTAAAAAGGGGGCTGAAAATTTGGCTTATACTTGAGTATACACACACACACACACACACACACACACACACACACTGTTCTGTATCTGAAATAACTCTATTCTAATTCTGAAGAATGTGTGGCACAAGAAGGGTGAATTCCCCCTGCCTGCGTTTTGTACCTAACTAAGTATTCTATTTTGTCACAGAGAGAAATTTTACTACTATTACATACCTTGTAGAAAAGAAGAACGTTAACAGCATGAATCCCAGCTGAATCGAAAATACTGAAAAGTTAATCAGTTTGAGAAATGTGAATGTGTAACAAGAAACGACCATACAAATGTGAAATTTAAAATACATATCAATCTTTCCCATAGGAAAAAGCCCATATTTTATAATGTATCAAGAGAGATATTAATGTTTACCTACTATTTATTTATGTAGTTATTCATTCATTCAATTTCAGTTATGAATATAATGATCAGGCAAGTGATACAATTCATCCTGGCTATTCATGTGCCCATAGCATTAAAAACCATCAAAAGATCCTCACACAAATACTAATCTCAGAGTAGGAAAAAAATAATGCAGGAACTAGAGATCCTTTATACTCTGTATAAAAATTGACTGCATAAGAAACATGTGATAATGTAAGTTAGACTTTTATGGATTGTAAGATCTTGAAAAATATGATTTTTCTCACCTAAAAATAATCCACACCTTAGAAAACTTACACTAGTCAGTAAAGTGTGGACAAGTTCTTGGTAAAATCTATGGTCTAAATCCAATTGGTACTGGACTAAAATGCATCCGGTGAATCAATGGGATTTGCAAGTCTTCACTGCATTTAATTGGCTTTAGGTCTATATTGCTCCAGGAGATTACATGCCATTTTAAGGCTTATGATCAGAAGCTTTGTTATGCTTTGTTACTTCTTGCTAAAGGTAAAGAACTAACTGAAGCATAATAGGATTTAAAACCGACACTTGCTGTATCAGTAATTGCATCCTCATAGCAAAGAGTTCAAAGGGAACTCTCCAAACAGGACCAAAATAGATTGACTACACTTTAGAATTTGTCCCTTGGCTTCTTTCTTTCAGTTCTTCTTACAAAGAGGTCCTACATTTTGGCAACCCCGCTATCTTGAAAAGGACATTTACAGCATGAAAAAACACAGAGCATTTTTAATGTTAATGCAACTCTTGGCAGCACGGTCTTTCCAGTAAAGCTTGGAAAGTTACTTATAAAGATAATGTCTGTAATAACATGCTGAAGCCACTTCTAAGTGAGCAGTGATAGGAGAATGATCTGGAAATCCCAGGGCCGTAGCCAGAAAAAAATGGGGGGGGGGGGTTGGACCCCACCCCCACCCCCCACCCCCCGGCTACAGGCCTGCCTGATATCATCCTAAGACTGTCCAGTTGTTGCTGCTACTATATTTATTTATATGCCACGTCTCTCTCTTAACAGAGACTCAAAGTGGCAAACGGTTTTGTGATTGCCAGACAGAGGTCTTGGTGATTTATTGGTTGTAAATAGCACAACCAATAAATCTGGGAACATCATTAATGAGCACAAGTATGTTTCTCCATCAAGTAATACATCATACATAGTAGATGAATCCCATTCTACTGAGATATTATTGATAAATTAAGATCCAATGTTTTTAAAAGTGTTAATTCCATATTCTTTTGAAAAATATGCATTCAGCAATACAAACTGCACAGCATTGCTGTAGAATAGTAGTTCCCAACATGTGGTCCATGGACCACCAGTGGTCCACAAGAACGAAAATATGGTTTGTGGCCTCACCATTACAACACCGTTTTTTCGAATGACACATTAATGAGAGTGTCTGGTCTCATGAAACCCTCTTATAGTGTCGAGACAACAAGGATTTCAGGAGGGGAGAGACTCATGAACTATTACTACTACCACATCAGCTCTAGATTATTAAATATGGTTTTCTATGGGCGAGCAGATGGCGACTACTGGATGGCATATGTTCTGCATCAGAAACTAGAGCTGATGTGGTCTATCCAATGCAATTTTTGGAATCAGCATCCCAAATAATCAAACCAAATCTAAAGTTGGCCAAAAACAGATTCATAACCCTTTTGGTTGAAGAGTGGTCCCTGGTCAAGTGGTCCCTGGTCAAAAAGAAGTTGGGAACTACAATTCATTGCATGCAAGACTGCAGATGCAAGACAATGAAGTTCAGTAGCGACATGTCAAGGCATCATGGGATCTTACCCCTTGAATAGGATAGGAATACACTGCTCTTTTGAATAATGCCCCAGCAGCTTAAAGAAATGACAATGTTTAAGCTGTACTTACTTATGAAAACTATTATAATCAGGCTAAATTTATCAAGGTCAATATTTGGATTGGAGAATGTATCGCAGAAAGTTGTATAGATGATCATGAGGAGCACGCAGCTGCTGATAGCACCAAATGGAGGCTTCTTTCTCTCAAGCCATTCCTTGATGTATCTTCGGACAATCTGAAACACAAGGAGGGAGAAAAAAAAGAGGAAATCAACAGGTTGCCTCTTTTCAACACACACACGAAGCCAAGTTAGGCATCACAAAATGAATCTGACAGCGGAAAGACATAAAGAGAAGAGAATAATTTGGATGACGGCCACAGTGGATTTCAAAGCTTCCCTGCCACATAACTCTTCTTCTGGGGAATTTAACATTTGTAGTGCAACTTCCACTGGGTGTCCATAATGAGAGTATATTTTCAAGTACATTCAAATCTGTCCTTAATCATGCCAAATGTTCTTTGCTAGCTGTCACTGAGACATGCCCATTAAGCCTCCCCAAAGTTTATCTCCTCTGCTGATACTAATGGATGTATGTAATTATCACAGTCCCCTTTGCATCAACAGACAATTCCAAGTGTAACTTTGGGAATCTTAAAAATCTGACATCTTCAGGAATTTCATGTGAGCAGATAATCGAAAGTGATCCATGGAACATTTAAATATTTAAATAGCTAGCGATGCACCAGAAGTTTTTAATTAAATTATAACTCATGCTTGAAAAGCAAAAGTGCATGTGTTGTGGGAGCTTAAATAATTCAGAGTCTGAAGATCTAGAGTTTTTTGTAAATCCAAAGACAAATGCCAGTTGCATGCTTCTGGAACACTAGAAAAAGCATAGGAAAACGAGCAAGTCTATGTTGTTTGATGTACGTTTTCACATTCAGGAATCTCAAAATGAAGTTAGTTTTTAATTCATTTGACCCTCTTTTTAGGTGAGGAAGAAACAAAAAAAACCATGTTTTAGTTTATGCTAATTCCCAGAAACACAGCTGATTCTTATGACAGCCATCAGGACCATCAGAATAATAATTTTCTGTGCTGACTTGAGTGGGTTGAAAATCATGAGACCAAAAACTTGGAAAGGGTACCTTTTTGGACTACAACTCCAGAATCTTCCAATTATCATGGCTAGAGTTGTAATCCAAAAAAGGAAACTTTTTCAAGCTCTCTACTAGATGCTTCCAGAAGATGCTACTGGAATAATTATTCCCCATAAGAATTACAGACCTAGCCTCATGACAGTTAATATCTACATACAACTATAGTTCTAGAGAAGCATTCAGAATTTGAGAATGGTAAACACACAATGTGAGAAAGCATACTACCTTTGCCCTTTAAAAGTGTTTATCACCCTCTACATGTGGGAGCTGACTTTCTCAAGAGGAAGACTTCCTATATCCATGGAGACTCCATGTCATTTGGATCACGAGAAACTCATGTTTGTTTTGTGCCAACAGCATCCATGCATAAAGGAAGCTCCTTTCTCAGAAATTTGCTCTCCTTGTATAGATGGGACGAAAATAGTGTGCTACCCCTTCATGTGTTAGTATATGTGCATTTGAATGGCTGCATACTGCTTATACATGAACTCAATCAAAGGTCTGCAGTTCAGTGTCAATGGCATGCTGCTGGTATTCAGTTTCATTCTGTATCTGGTCTGGCATAGTTCTCCATGAATGATTATTTGAAATCAGAAATGAACGATAAGAAACTAAGCACCATGCAGATGTGGAGCCCCCTACTTGTCTTAATTAATTCAACACATGTGTTCCTGATGGGGGTCACATTAGTCATAGTAAAGAAAACCTATAGCTTGGATGTGCTCTTGGATTTGGCACTGATCTTCTCAGGCACCGAGATTACTCATGCCCAAAAACATTCTCTATCATCTATGCTTTTCTGGAAGCACCCAAGCCATCATCTCATAAATGCACTCTCAGCTGGCAACATTGTGTTGCCATGGATGAGGTCAGTGGTTCTCAACCTGTGGGTCACCAGTTGTTTTGGCCTACAATGCCCAAAAATCCCAGCCAGTTTACCAGCTGTTCGGATTTCTGGGAGTTGAAGGCTAAAATATCTGGGAACTCACAGGATGAGAACCACGGGTTCAGATGCTGCAAGTAGCCCAGAATTGCATTTCCTAACTCTTAAGGTGAGGTAATCCCAGAATTTGTCTGGGATAAATTCAAAGGTTTTGGTTCCACCTTTGAAACACTAAACAATTAGAGAATATTTACACCAACATCTCAATGCATGAGATGCAACTTTCAGTGGTTCTCAATCTGTGGGTCCCCCAATGTTTTGGCCTTCAACTCCCAGAAATCCTAACAGCAGGTAAACTGGCTGGGATTTCTGGGAGTTGTAGCCCAAAACACCTGGGGACCCACAGACTGAGAACCACTCTTTTAGATGCTATTTCTGTCAGCTTTCGAGGTTATCTTTTGCTACATCTTGATCTTTTTACTGGTGGCACCACTATTAGAAAATTTCCTGGAAAATATGAAAAATCAGATCTCCTCTAGAGGAATATGTATGAATGAAATCTTTATTTACTACCAAATCTTCTGGGGCTTCAGAGTTCGTTGCATTTTAAATAGTTAATTTAAAAGACATTTGTTTCCAGCATTGTGAGTTTTAACTTTTAAGTTGCTTGAAAAGTTTTATGAGCACAAGAACCTGTTTGAAACAGCTCTAGTTAAAGAGTGGATTATTTTCAAGCATTTTTAAATTTAGAAGAGCAAATCTAACTGAAAAGAAATGATACAAGCCATGATTTGCATTAATTTTTTAATCATACGTTACAAGACTTCTCAGGAGATAGCCCAACAGTTTGTATTACTGTGGTGTTTTAGAAGTAACACAGCGATTTCATGCTAGATACTAATCTGAGGGTGCTAGAGATGACATGTTACCTCCCAATAATGACACCACTAATGATAAATTATTACCACAAGAGGCTCAAATTAAATCATCTCAGATTGGCTGCCCAAGAACAAAATTAAAGCAACTTTATGAGATTTTCAAGTTGTCTCTGCCAGGACTAGCAGTTTTTTTCACTTATTTTTTTCACTTAGTCCAAATCAATATATCACTGGTGAATACAATTGCTCTAACAGAATTAACCCTAAAATATTTCTAAGGCTAATAATTGTAAATACTGTGTGCAGTTGTCATTATTCCTGGGGAAAACGGGTGTGTGTGTTTATTTATTTCTTTACGGCATTTATATCCCACCCTTCTCACCCTGAAGGGAACTCAGAGGAGCTTACAAGTTATATGTACATACAATATATTATATTTTTATATTATTAGCGTAGCACAATATTAGTATTATATATTACTTATATTGTACTATACCACTATACTGCAATATTATTAGTAATATTACATGTAATTTAAAATATATATTATATTTTATTATTATATTAGTAGTATTATATTATGATCAATATTATATGTACCTACAATATATTATAATTATTAGCATAGCACAATATTAGTATTATATATTACTATATTGTACTATACCAGTATACTGCAATATTATTAGTAATATTACATGTAATTATAACATACAATTATTATATCGTATTATTAGTTATACTGTATTACATTATACATAATATCATTATCGTTATGGTGTTGGGGAGAACGTGACTTTTTAGAAATATGCATGTTGTCTTTTAACATTGTGGAAGTTCATTTAATAAATGACACCTTCTACAATAATGCATAAAAGGTTATGCCAGGTTTTATATAATTTAGCCAGAGTGTGTTATAAAGTAGAAACCATTTAAAGTATTCACACTTAAATTCTCAAGACTGAGAACGTTTCTAAATCCATGCTCTGTAAGGCTCCAGGGGAAAATAAAGGGTTTATTTGAACACGTCGCCTCTTCATCACTCAACATGAAGTAGAAATATTTCAACATTGAAATAACTGAATTTTTTTTTACTACTGATGCTGGGAGAAAACTACTGGATTTTTTTACTTTATTGATAATTCTTTTCGGAGGGACATCTTAAGGGTTGAAATGTCCCATTTTGTCAAAGAAGGGGATTCCATAGGATGGGAACATAGTTGTTGAAGTGAAGTTGGAGAACTATAACTGTGTTGTGTAAAAGGGATGCGATGGCCAAGAGTGTCTTTGTGTAGTTTTGGTCGATGTACTGTCTGCATTGCTTCCTGTGCAGTTCAGATTTGGCCATAGTGGCTCATGTCTTAATTATCTCCCTGTTAGGATTACCATAATGCACTCTACAGGGACTGCCCTTGAAAAGTTTTCAGAAGCTCCAGCTAATGCAAAATGCATCAGTCAGGCTGTTGTCAGGTGTCCACTTTGGAGACCACATATGACTGGGTTTGTACTAATGGCATTGGTTTCCGATCTGCATCTGATCTGAATTCAAGAGACAAAGTATTAAACAGCTCGGGGCCAGGATATCATTCCTCTTATATATGAACCTGCCGCAAGTATGAGATTTTCAGCTGCAAGAAGGCTGGGGAGGCCCTGCTCTCGATCCCACCTTCCTCACAAGCGCGCCTGGCGGGGATGAGAGACAGGGCCTTCTCAGTGGTATGGCACTAAAATTGCTATTTCTGTGTGTTGCCTTGAGTTGCTGCAAGGCTGAGAAAGGCAGGCTACAAATGCCATAAATATTATTATTATTATTATTATTATTATTATTATTATTAAACTTTATTTGTACCCCGCTAGCATCTCCCGAAGGACTCGATGCGGCTTACAAAGGCCAAGGCCTCAACACACAACATAACAATACAAAACCCAAGGCAAATTAAAAACAATTAAAGCAATATAACAACAAGCAATAAACAATACACTAGGACATAATGAAACTGGGCCTGGAATAAATAAATAAATGTCCCATCATGAATAAATAAATAAATGTCCCATCATACAGCTGAACAAGCCTCCACTAGTGGTTTGTCTTTATATAATTCAGATTGCTTACTGTATTGTATATGTGTATATTGGTATGCAGTTTTCCTTAACTCTGTTGTGGGAGGGGCTGCAGACCATGTGATCGGAACTGGGACTGTTCAGATCTCAGACTCCATTTTAGACACTGTATGCTTTTAAATGTCAGCAGAAACAGAATGCTATAGAGAAGAGACTCAATTAGACTCTCAGATAGGAGAGATGCTTTAGACT